AACTCTGCCTGTCTCATGAGCTGTGGCACATGCTCACCCCTGGACAAACAGTAGCCATTGCAAATGCCAGCAGGAAGCACAGACCTCTTCAGGGCCTCAAGAACACCTCCATCTGCCAGCAGTTTTCATCTAGAACTCCTCCCAGCAACTGGATTAAGCCCATTTATAGGTAGGAAATTGAGATTCCGAGGGGAAAAAAAGATTGTTTAGTGTCCCAGAAGCAGCCAAGATAGACAACTACCCAAACATGGGTTTTCTGCACCCAACGCTGGAAAGCTTTGATGTGTCACATGGCCACACAAGAAAGTTAGCCTGTGACCCCGAAGAAGGAGAGCGTCAAGCTCTGTGTGCTATGAAAATGAGTTTCAGAGCAGCCAATGCCAGATACAATGCCAACGACAAGCCCTGTACAAAATGCACCATCTTCTTCCAGAAACAACTGAACAGTGATCCAGACATCACAACTACACAAGAAATAGTATCAAGAAATCATTCTTATGAAATCTTTAGGATTGTTTCCTGCTACCACAATGCAATAGTTTTAATAAAGAGAACCCAAATAGTTCCAATTTATATAACCACTATAACAACTAGAAATTACCTTAAGATGAATGAAACAGGCCTTAAAGGTAACACAATTAAAGAAAAGCCAAGCCTAAAACCTACTGTCTTAGACGCGGGCTCTCCATCTTTCACAAAATCCATTTTTTAAAAAGAAATCCTAAGAAAGCCAGGTATGGTGGCATCGCCCTTTAATTCTAACATCTGGTGGTACAGGCAAGAACATCAGGAATTCAAACTACATAGCAAATTCAGGGATACATGAGACTGTCTCAAAAGACAAAATAAAACATGTGAAGATTAATGATTTGATTTTTAAATGAGCTATGGAAGACAACAGACACCTACTGTGATTCACAGCAGCCTCATAGGTGATTAAGTCACTCACAGAAGCCCAAGGAAGTTGAGACATTCCCAGGTGGTATGAGGTACAAGAACAGCTGGCTATCGCCAAGCACAGAGACAAGTTCTTGAGGCGGGCTAGTCAGGGAGCCCATATCCTGGCTAGAGAATGACCACCAGAAGGAAGAGACTACTGGACACCTTAGATTTAGTCCTGTAAATTCTGGGTCAGACAGTAGTAAAGGAAGGAGGCAGCTTGAAGGAAGCCTGTGCTTACTTCTGCCCTATAAATAAAACTTTCTCCAATGGCCAACCCTAAAAAATACAAGTAACATTATACAGGCTGAGCAGATTGCAGTTATTTATTTAAGAATATACACACACAAAAACTAAAGCAGTGGTTCTCAACCTGTGTGTCCCGACTCCTTGGTGGGAGGCCAAAAGACCTTTTCATAGGAGTCGCCTAAGACTAAAAGAAAACACAGAGACATTATGATCCATAACAGTAGCAAAATTATGGTTATGAAGTAGCAGCACGGTACCACAACATTAGGAAATGCACTAAAGGGCTACAGCATTAGGAAGGTTGAGAAACACTGAACTAAAAAAAAAAGAGGCCATAAATTTGAAAGACAGTAAGTTGGGGGTACTACAAGAGAGAGTTTAGAAGGAGCAAATGGAAGGGGAAATTATATAATTATATTAATCTCAAACCATGAAATATATATACTGAAATATACATACACATATATAGTATGTATGTATAGATATAGATATATCTTTCCAATGGAATATGTGGTGCATGTCTGCAATCCAAGAATGAAGGAGGCAGAGACAAAAGAATAACAAGTTTGAGGTTACCCTGGGAAACAGTAAGAAAGTATCTTAAACAACAACAACAACAACAAAAAAGGAATCAAAAAGGAATATACTTAGGGTCTTCTAAAGAAACTTTTTAAGTTATATATTATACTTTTACCCTATTAGAAGTCAATAGCTCCCATCAAAATGGAATTCAACCAACAATGAAATGTCATAATTCAAACAGTGAAATGGAAAACTAAAACATACAGCTAACATTCCACAGAGATGCTGTGGTGGCTTGAAAGAAAATGGACCCCAAAGGAAGTGACGCTATCAGGTGTGGCTTTGTTGGAGAAGGTATGGCCTTGTTGGAGGAAGTGTGTCACTGTGGGGGCAAGATTTGAGGTCTCATATATGCTCAAGCCACACCCTGTGTTTCAGACTACTTCCTGTTGCCTGTGAGTCAAGATGTAAGGCCTCTCAGCTCCTTTTCTAGCACCAGTCTGCCTGAATTCTGCCTTGCTTCCCACCATGAGGATAATGGACTAAACCTGAGCAGTAAGCGAGCCACCACAATTAAATGTTTCCCTTTATAGGTGTTACCATGGTCATGGTGTCTCTTCACAGCAATAGAAACCCTGACTACAACAGATGCCAGATCACAAGCCTGTCCTCCCCATATTCCCAGGTAGCCCAACTGCCTGGCTCTGTGCAGACTCGTAACAAGATTCCTAGCAGCAGAGCACAAGCATAGGCCTGAGCCATAGGATAATGCCAGTGTAGAAAAGAGAACAACTGTGACTGATATCTAGTAGCAACTAAGGACAATGATAAAAGTCAAATAAATCTGACGGCACTTGATGCTGGGAAACATGGCTGCTTACTTTTTGCACTATCCTAATTAGGCACATTTTTCCAACTAACTCACAATTATGTGTTCTCTTAAAAATAGTTCCTAGCCACTGTGTGTGTGTGTGTGTGTGTGTGTGTGTGTGCGCACGCGTGCGCGCGCATGCTCATGACATTAGGAAAATACTATTTACCCAAGAGAAAAGCGAACCCCATCAGAGATTCATCAGGTTAGACAACACAGAATTAGAAGATCTGTTGTGCTGTGGAATACTCCTTCTGTACACTGTATGAATATTTGTCACTTGGACTGGTTTAATAAAAAGCTGATTGGCCGATAGCCAGACAGGAAGTATAGGCCGGGCAACCAAACTAAGGATGCTGGGATGAAGAAGGGTGGAGTCAGGAGTCCCCAGCAGAGGCAGAGAGAACAAGATGGGCATGCCGTACTGAGAAAAGGTACCAAGCCACATGGCAAAGCATAGATAAGAAATATGGACTAATTTAAGTGTAAGAGTCAGCTAGTAAGCCAGGCGGTGGTGGCATAAGCCTTTAATCCCAGCACTCAGGAGGCAGAGCCAGGTGAATCTCTGTGAGTTCGAGGACAGCCTGGTCTACAAAGTGAGATCCAGGACAGGCTCCAAAGCTACACAGAGAAACCCTGTCTCAGGGGGGGAAAAACAAAAACAAAAACACAAGAGTTAGCTAGTAACAAGCCTGAGCAACCAGCCAAGCATTTATAATTCATATTCAGCCTGAGTCAGTTATTTGGAAACGGCGGTCAGGACAGGAAAACCCATCTACACTGTTAGAAATGTTTGTTAGTACTTAAGAGTCAAAAAGACAGGTTAGAACCTGTTCCAAAGCACTTGACTGGTGGCTAGTAGGTGGAAATTTCCAAAGACTGTTTTTTCTATTTGTTGTAAAATTAGGCAGCATGATTAGAGTAAGATCATATATCAAATTTCATATTAAATATGATTTGGGGTTTTTTTGTTTTTGTTTTACATCTGAGCAGACAGATAATTTTAAGTAAATACAGTTTTTCTTTGAAAAGAAGTACATTTTCTAGTTTAAATGCTGCTCTTTGTGGGTAGATACTTAACCTCTAGTGCCAACCTTCAAGGTGCAGAAGGTCTACACAGCTCTTCCCACCAGTAGGGAAAGTTCTATTTCCACCAGTAGCCATCTTATCTTGAGCTTTTAACTCAATGAGACAGACTAACACCTCAAGTATTAAATAAGGCCCAAAGCTAAGAAGTCATTGTACAAACACATAAGCATTTACTGTGCCACTGAACACAGCAGCTTTGTATGTTAAATGTGACAGCTCATCTGCTGATCAGCATCTGAATCAGAAAAACATGTGGAAAACAATCAGATAAAATAGAATTATAGATGCTCACTGAGTATTCTACATATGTAATTTTACTCGATATTATTCTATAGAAGTGTCCTTCTACCACATGAAAGAAATTCTGTTTTCTGTCTCCAAGCACTCAGCTAACTGACAAGCAAACCACATGGCACTTCACATTCCTCAGGGCACTGCTTTCCTCTACGGGTGAAGTTTGAGGTGTTTTTCCTTTCTGGTGTACACATTTTGTGTCTTTAGTCAACCATTATAGTTGGTTTATTCTACAAGCTCGTGCTCACAGGGTTCCCATTTCCCCAATTTACAATGTAAATACATATAACAGGTATCACTGCCACAGAGCACAGCAAACATATGGACAATGGCATTTGCTTTAGAATTCACTGTAATTAAGGCAACAGACATGAATTATGCACTGTAACAAAGCTCATACAACTAGAAGAAAGCAAGTATCCAGCACCTCTTCATGAAGACTGGGTGCAAGAACTTGCTATTCTAGAGTGCTGAACTTATCCTTACTACAGTGTAAACTGCACTTCCTGTGTCTCACTGAAAATCATCATAAAGGAGTGCTCCACTTTTAAAATGACATGGTAAGATGACATGTTTTCAAAGTAGAACTTCTCTTTAAAACACAACAGAGAAAAGGGTCTTGAGAACAGGTTCAACAGTCCATGCTGCTTGAAAGTGGGTCCATTCCCCTGACCACACATGCTCACTGACTCCACAGCTATACACAATGCGTATAAGAAAGTTTACTTCTACGACAAACTTGAAGTTCACGTTTGTTGGATTATGAGAAATTGATTACACTGTTATTTACAAAAGAAGCTAAAAACTGAGAAAGGTATAGCTGCAGGATGTCACCATGGTCAATCACTAGACTCAAGACAGCTGAGACAATACAGGTCCAGACAGAAGCAGATTTTGAATGACAATTCTCTTACCAACCTTAAGGTTTGGCTAATCTACATGACTCTACCAGAGGCCAGGTTCAATTCTTTTGTGGAAACTAAAACCCTCTAAGGCAGACAAATTTACAAAGAATGTATAAAATGTATCAACTTACCCCTCCAGACAACTTAATCACCCTGACCTTGGAGCTGACATGTGGCCCATCTCCACCACCTCCACTGTTGGCCCTGTGCATGACAGTCCTCTTCACCCCTGGCTTGGTGTCCTGAGGCCGGCCCTGGAGGGACGTCACTCTGGCTGCCTGTGGGGAGTTGGGGGGCTCCTCTATGTCCATAGGCTTGACCTGGAGGACTTTGTGTGGCAGCTGTCTCAGATGCTTCAGCGGTCTCACATGCTGCCCTTGATGCTGCATGTTAGCACCAGGCGGGACAAAGTTTACTGCCTTGGGTTGAACATTAGCAATGGTAACATCTTGGTTTTTAACAAGAAGTCTGGTTTTCACATTCTGCCGGCACTGTGCCCCTGGAAAGGGCAACAGTGGGTTACCATTTGTGGGCGATGGTGTAGCTGCCAGCTCCTCTTGCTCCACAGGGGTCTGTGGCCCGTAGATCTGCTGTTGCTGCTGCTGTTGCTGTTGTTGTTGTTGCTGCTGCTGCTGTTGCTGTTGCTGCTGCTGCTGCTGCTGTGCAAGTCTTTCCAGTAACTCCTTCTTCCTGGCACCAGCCTGCTGTTGCCTTCGTAACTCCTTCTGCTTGAGGATTTCTTCTCTCAGACGCTTCTGCTCCTCTATCTTTAGTCGATATAACCTTGTCTCTTCATCTTCATCAGGGAACTAAAATGGAAACACAGTTCACTTCACTTTACAGTGCAGGGTGCCCACTTTAAACAATCAATTTCCCCTAAACCTTTCAATTCAGTATTTGAAAAAAGGCATTTGAAAATCTGCTTAACAAGAAGTGTAACTCTTTCCTCTAGGGAGGGAGGAAAATTACACAGCTAAACCTAATTTGGAAAAAAATCTTATCAGAATATTAAAAATGAAATAATGTAAATTCCCACTCATTTACAAGTTTGAAACCAATTAAACTATTCATTTAAGATATCAAAATATATTTCGAATGGGAATGGCAACAGCCACGAGTTCCTGCTGTCAGAGGGGTTTTTATCTGGCTCTTCCCTGACATACCAACAAAAGGTGGGGTGTAAATGACCTGAAAGGCCCTGATTACAACTATTGATTTTTCGTACAGAATTTTCAGCCTGATCTCAAACTCATTTGTCACAGAATAATTGGTTATAATGAACAGCACAAGTCAATCTTTCTGACCTTGAACTCCCACACCCTCCTCAGAATCAAAATGCTGCCAATCGCAGTATTGGAATATTAATGGTCAGTGGATGCCCTGAATATCCCAGACCCAAACTACACTAAAAGTCTATACAGAGAATTCCTTTCAAAAGTCCAGTAAATTTTTTACTAAAGAATCCAATGAAGAAAGCTTATAACTTAAAAATAATGTTCTTTAAAATCACTTATCCATAGTCTTTACAGAAGAATAAGATTCAATCTATCTGGAATTCAACTAATTACAAATCTTGCCTATCTTGCATAAATCTCAAGAATTAGAGATGTAAGACAAGCACAGAGCTGGAGAGTTGAGTGGGTACCCACCCCATGGACTTCTTGGCATGGGCTGACCTCCTTCTTGTCTAAGGTCAAAGTCTTGGGTACATTTCAAATAAAAACTAAAGGTAGGTGAGTGAGAGACTCTTACTCAGCAGGCCTGAGTAAGAAACCCTGCAATTCAACAGCAAAGAATGCAGTAGCAGGATACAGATGCACCATTTCCTAACACAGGTGTAATTTGTCAGCATTTGTTTCCCAACCAGTCAAGAGAGGGTTAAAGTAGGTTCAAAGATATAGATAAAAATACTTTAGATTTATTCCTTTCTGAACCAATACCAACTAAATGAATCCAAATCATTTAGCCACCTTTAGCGAAGAAAAATAAATGCATTTCTCTAAAAGGAAAAATATAAGCCTGGTTCCACTTACTGTATACAAAAAACTAAACTAAAACAAATTAAGACATTCAACCTATACCACTGTAACCTGTCAACTTTCTATTTTACTTTCAAAATTTTTCTGCATGTGGTAAATTTACAGAAGAATTCATGGTAAGTCTAAAACGAAATGAATAAACACGGCTGATTGTTCCTCTCCTTGTGTTATTTAGTCACTATTATTATGTAAGAAATTTGCATGTGAACTAGACTGAACATATATACAAGTTCTAAGTTAGCTATATAAACCAAAGGTACTATCAAATTTTTGGCAAAGAACCATTTTTTATCGTTTGGGGTGTGTGTGTGTGTGTGTGTGTGTGTGTGTGTGTGTGTGTGTGTGTGTTGTTTGTGCGTGCGCGCGCGCGCACACACACACACACACACACACACACACACACACACACGCGCGCGCGCGCACGCCAAGATTGAACACGGCCTTGAGAATGCTGGGCAAATGCTCTACCACTCAAATTATATATCTCTTTATTACTTTTTATAAGTTTGAGAAGGATCTAAGTTGCCCAGACTGGCCTTGAACTAGCGACTTTCCTGCCTCAGCCCTTAGAGTAGCTAAGATTACAAGAGTACAATCCAAGACCCAGCTCACAAAGAACTCTTTATAAACCACTCCATTCCAGTCTGTAGCTCCAGTTTTCTTTCATACACTGATTATGAAACCCACAATCACCCTTTTAATGTGTTTATTAAATGACATCCAACAGTCTGACTTCATAATTTTGATGTGATACAATTAAAACCATCACAATCATTTATCAGAAGAAAACCTGAATGATGAAATCCTAATTAAAAGATTAAAATAGTATAACTGGTTTTTAGAAAGAAAGAAAGAATTCCTTAAATTCTTACTTAAGGAAATGCTCCAGGCTATCATTACACTGAACACTATAATAATCAGTTAACTGGTCAAGGGCTTTGTTACATTCAGCATGGATTTTTACTGGTGCTCACGTAACTCTCTGTACTTGTCTGTGCCCAGCTCCCAGATATACCCTATCTTATTTCATCCTCATTTTACAGGTAAGAAAGTTGAGACTTGTGAGAGGCCAAGGACCTCAAAATTGAAAACCACGTAAAATATTGATCCATGATTATTATTCTACACCTATTTTAAATTACCAAATATAAGTAAGGTCACAGAACCACCTAGTTTTGTGAGTAAGGTTTACTGGTATAGAACACACCTGTTCCTATAAGAACTATTATTTACAAACTGCCTTGAGCCACAATGGCAGGGGTAAGTGATTATGCTGATCTGGAACATTTTTAAAATTTGGGGTCCTTTAAAGAAAATATCTGCTAAACCTGAGTATACATTGATTCTATATAATACAGGAATAACTGTACAAATATAAAAGTTTAATATCATAAACCAGTGAGAATGTCAAGAGTACCCATGCATACTCCAGGGAATGAAAATACAAGCTGCTTAAGGTGCACTGCCACAGAGCTACATCCCCCAGCAGTAAGAGTATCTTTTATGAACATGTCTAGGCTAAAAGAAGAATCTACTTGGGAGGAATAAGTGGGCAGAGTTTCTGGATGACTGAATTAAGCAGAACATAGTGACAGTCAGACTCCCTATTCCAGAACAAACACGTCCCAGGAAAGAGGTCCTACCTCTGGCTCTGCTTTTGTGTCTTCCTTAGGTTGAGCCCCAGGGCTAAGCGGCTTGACTTTTGCATCAGTTTTCCCCTGTGAGCTCCGAGAAGCCACCACAGCCCTGCAGGGTGGGGATGTGTTGACAATGGGCTTCACCTGAGCTGCAGGTGTGGAGGAGCAGCGATTACCACTCATTTCCAATACATGGGAAGGTGCTATGGGGAGTTCACGCAGATTACTGTTTCTGGGAGCAGTGGGTTGCATCTGCTGCATGGGCCGTTTGCTTATACTCTGAGATGCTGAATTCTGTCAGAAAAAGAAACACAAGTTTATTAGTGAGTCAAAACATGAAGGATCACTGTCATCAAAACTGCCTTCTCTTCTGAGAGGTAGATCCCTTACTCTGGCAAATACAAATGTTGCTGGATGCCCTGATGTTTAGGACTCGGTTTCATAAAGACACAGCTTTCATATAAAAGTCAAACCCAGTGATTTTTCAGTGTATGGACCAACATTTTTAACAGAACTTTGGGCCAAAAGAACAACAAAACAAGGACTCAAATGTATCAGTTGCATACTGTTTCTACTTCATCTAAGTTTAAAATGGAACAGGAGACTCTAATACCATGTTTCAATCTTATGAAAAGCTTTCTGGAGGAGAACGGTGCCGCCACGTCCTATCACAAGAAGAGTCTCAGTTACTTTTCCCTAGACGTGGCTGGGAAAGAACCCATACATCAAGGGATAGAGGTGGCTGAGTCAGGAGGGACTGAGTTGCTGCCATTACCCTAACAAGGAAGCCTAGTCACACATGCCTCTCCTCTACCTAGAAATACCCTTGATGCTTTCATCCAAGTCATATTAAGATATAAAGAGGCAGGGTAAGGAAGACAGGTTCAAAGCAGCCCAATGACCTGCTCAAACAATGAGAATAAAAGTACAGGACTGAAGAGAAGACTTATAGACAGGAACTGTTAGTAATATTATGTTTTGTCCTGAAAGAGAAAGTAATGTCAGTTACTAATAGAGGAAAAGGCGATGGCAGGTACATTTTACTCTCACAGAGACCTATCACCTCCCAGTTCCTTTCAATGCACGACAAGACCCACATCTGCTGACAGTATGTCAAATGGCCCACCACAAACAAATGCAAGTTAGCTTCCACAACTGAAGGGAAGCTCTTGTTCAGAACCCAGAGGCAGATACCCTGGATCAAAGGCTGAGCTGTGTGCACTGGTGGAATGACCATCAACCAACAGTACTGTCTAATCACTACAGAAACCCCAAATCCATGAAGGAAGTAAATATCAGCACAGCCTTTAAGGCTCAAAAAAGGACAAGTTAATATCTATAGTTCAAAATGTTTTCCAAAGTGCTTTAAAAAACCAATTATAGTTTTACTTTGGAAACTATATTGCGTATTTATTAAAAAAAAAAAAAAAACAGCTGGAAAATGATTTACCTCAGGAATTGTAAGTTAAGCCACATGTGGTACTCACATGTCGTAGCCCCTGACGTGGGGTGCACTGCATCCGACTGCTGTTGGGCTGAGGCTGAGCAGTCTGCACATGCGGCCTGAACTGTGGCTGAGACATGGGCATCAGAGGAGGGGGAGGAGCGGAAAGGTGGTGGTGATGCTGGTGCTGCTGTGGCTGATGCTGAGGGGGCGGCTGATGCTGTGGGGGAGGCTGGTGTGGAGGCTGGAGGGGAGGCTGAAGGGGTGGCTGGTGCTGGTGATGCTGGGGCTGCTGCTGGGGCTGCTGAGGCTGAGGCTGTGGTTGATGAGGTGGCGGCAACGGAGGATGCAAGGGTCCCTTCCATTCCAAAAGAAAGAGAAACAATAGCTTATAAACAGATGTGCTAGGCAGATTTCATCCCAACGGTTTCCTTAAAAATTCCCAGCAGATTTCATCCCAACGGTTTCCTTAAAAATTCCCAGCAGATTTCATCCCAACGGTTTCCTTAAAAATCCCCAGCATTGAGAAGCAGCTTCATGTGGAGAATAGAATCATAAATGCAGCAATTGGCTGGTGGCACTACCTTTGTATGCCTAAAACTATGCACCATCATAGTAGGTAACCTCCTACAGCATGCTCAGATGGTACAGTGAAGACAGTCCACTAGACTGGAAAGACCATAGGGACTATATTACCTGAGGAAAAAATAAGGACTGCTTTCCTACTAAAAAAGATACAACTACATGGTTATGGCAACTGCTGCTTGGTAATAGAATTATTTAATTTCTTTAAACTCACCTATATTCTAATATTTATACAACAGAGGGAAAAGTATTTCTATTTTTAGAAAAAATTCAAAATATTTATCCCTTTTTGAACACTGAAAATAGTTATCTTCTCTTTTTAACTTAAATACATACTCTTAAAATACATACTCTTAAATACATACTCTTAAAATTTTTATTTCATTTACTTATTGCTCGACTGGCTGTGTGTATATGTGAGTACATGTGTACCAACACAAACATGTGCCACAATACACACTGGAGGTCAGAGGACAACTTACTAGAGTCAGTTCTTACCTTCCATCATGTGAGTTCCAGGGGTCAAACTAGGGTACTCAGGCTTGGTAGCAAGAGCTGTTACCTGCTAAGTTATGTTTGCAAGCCTAGATATGCTATTTAGTAATTGATTATGTGTATGGATATTTCAGGTGAATGAATGTCTATGTACCATGGGCATGTCTGGTGCCCACCATGGCCAAAGGAAGACTTTGGATCTCCTGGGACTGGAGTTACAGATGGTTGTGAGCCACCATGTGGGTGCTGAGGATTGAATCCCATCCTCTGGAAAAATAGCAAGTCTCTTTAAGACTGAGCCATCTCTCCAGTCCCTAGGTATGCATTCTTATATTCCCTATGTATCTAAACAGTTGAGTCAAAGTGTACTATTACCAACTCTCTCTCTCCCCGCCCCTTTCCGGTAGACAACATCTCCCAAATGCTGGGATTAAGGAATGACACTGCACCTTGCTGGATTGCTATGTACCTTGATACTTGATAGTAAAGTTAAAAAACGAAGAAAATATACCAGGTAGGAAAAAATGTCACAAATACTTGTACTGGCCAGTAAATACCTCCAGCAGAGGGCGCACAAGCCTGTCACATACAAAGTGAGAAGCTGTAGTGTTCCTCCCCACCAAGGCCTTTCCCCTCCCTAGCAGGAACATGATGTGGCGGACAGCACTACACAAGACAAGCAAATACACCATCAGGACTTACTTTAGTGTTAGGTGCAGTACTCTAGTGTTAAAGTTACCCTTTAAAATTCCAAAAGTGACAAAGTTCAGCTCCAGGAAAATGAGAACCACTTTTTTCATATTCCCTAGTGTTTAGGAAATAAACAATACTATCAAGAAAGCTGGCTGTAACAATCAGTATATTAAGACTACTACTCATACCCTTCACATAACCGTAAGTTAGCAGAAACAATTAAAAGCTGAAGCTTCCCTTTCACGAAACACAAAGGGTCAGCACCACACAGATAAGTTTCCCTCAAGGCTGGTTCATGTGCATACCTGAAGGTTAGGCTGTGCATGTGAAGGCAGGAACGGCTGTCCTGGGCTGGGTAGGAAAGGCTGTCTAGGAGGAATGAAAGGCCTGGCAGTTGCTGACCCTGGCTGGCTGAAGTGTAGGATCCCCACTGGGCCTGGGGGCTGCAGGGCTGGTCTTACAGGCCTCTCTCTAGGGAACACCGGCTGCTGTCCTTGCTGATTAAATGCTGGTCCAGGCTGAGTGAATGGTAAGGGACTCTGAGTGGGGACAGGATGGCTGCTGTTCAGGAGTGTGGGAGGAGGAGGTGGTGGAGGACTTCGCTGTTCCAAGAAAAGATGACTGGGGAACCTTGGTTCACCTGAAACTGAATAGTAACACAACATTACCTTCAAGATAGAAAGACCGCACACTTTGCAGACAAGCCTTTTTAAGAGCCACCTCACGCCGGGCGGTGGTGGCGCACGCCTTTAATCCCAGCACTCGGGAGGCAGAGCCAGGCGGATCTCTATGAGTTCGAGGCCAGCCTGGACTACCAAGTGAGTTCCAGAAGAGGCGCAAAGCTACACAGAGAAACCCTGTCTCGAAAAAACAAACAAACAAACAAACAAACAAACAAACAAAAAAGAGCCACCTCACTATTCCCAAATGTTAGGATTGTATTTTATAAAGAATCCTAAATTTTAGCTATCTTGGAATGGTTTTATGGGTCATTTTCTATAAACATTTCCTTCTTTGTACCAGAATGTCACATTTCAGATCCAACTATTGTCTAATTTTAGCCACTGAAATAATGGGTAGAATTATTATGACACATCTCCTAGTGGGCAGTAAATTCTGTTTCAGCAGTAACCACACAGGTCCACCATTCAATGCAGCTTCTGTCACTTCTTGTGCCCATCACACCCCTTCATGTACCTCCCAAGAAGAAAGGGTCTCGTTCCTGAGGTGGTGGTGGGGCTCTCCACTGGTCCTGGAGAGGAAGTCGAGGTGGCTGGTTAAAACTGTTGGGAACAGGTCCAGGTGTATGCTGTGGAAATTCTGGAGGGCCCTAAAGAACAATGAAAAACAAGATGAAAAAAATACTATGTAGTTTTCAGAATATAAACATAATCCCAAGCTTAACAATATCGTAACTCATTTCTTATGGTCAGCCTACTTCTTTCTGTTATCTCTCTACATATGCACATAAATGAAGACAAATACCTATGTGCAAATGTAAATGACATTACATAAAAACTGATTCTGCCATAATAAAACAGTCAAGAAAGAGTCAAAAATCAAAATACAACATCAAGAAATTAATTCAGGATTTTAACATTACTAGAAAGCTGTCCTGGAATATTACTTTAACTGTGTAAAGGTGTGTTACATTTGTTTCACCTTCCCTCCTAAGGCACCTGATTGGTCTAATAAAAAGCTCAACAGCCGGGGCTGGAGAGATGGCTCAGAGGTTAAGATCACTGCTTGCTCTTCCAAAGGTCCTGAGTTCAATTCCCAGCAACCACATGGTGGCTCACAACCATCTGTAATGAGATCTGGTGTCCTCTTCTGGCATGCGGGCATATGTGCAGACAGAACACTGTATACATAATAAATAAATCTTTCAAAAAAAAAAAAAAAAGCTCAACAGCCAACAGCTAGGCAGGAGAGGGACAGGCAGGGCTGGCGGGAAGAGAGAATATGTAGGAGGAGAAATCTAGGCAAGAGAAGGGGAGGGGAGAGAACAAGGGAGAAAGAGAGAGCAGAAGACACCAGCCAGCCAGATACAAGAAGCAGAGAGAGAGAGAGAGAGAGGAAGTTAAAAAGCCCTGAGGCAAAACATAAATGAAGAGAAACAGGTTAAGTTAGAAAAACTAGTGGGACAAACATAAGATAAGGGCAAGCATTTCATAACTAATAAAATGTCTCTGTCTTGATTTGGGAGCTGGTTGGTGGCCCAAAAGAAAATATGTTACAGAGAGCCACAACACTGCCTCGAGGCTTACTCAAAACTATGAAACTACACAACTGTTGACCCTCATTTCCAGGAATCCAAAAAACTAAACGTCTATTTTGGACATTCATTGCAATTGTTTGTCAAAGATGCTATTCTTTGTTATTTACTCAATATAACCCTAGGCTAAAGCCATGAAGCAAATTTACTTCAAAAGAAGAAGAAAAATTTCAATTTGTACCTTAACAAAAATTAGCATACTCTGAGATAACAGAAAAATGTGGCTTTTTAAGAAATCAAATTATGGAGCTATAGAGATGGTTCTGTGGTTAAGAACACTGGCTGATCTTCCAGAGGACCAGGGTTCAATCCCCAGCACCCACGTGGCAGCTCACAGCTGTCTGTAACCTCAGTTTCAGGGGACCTGATACTCTCACAAGTACATACACGCAGGTAAAACACCAAAGCTCATAAAATAAAGAAAATGTTAAAAAAAATAAAGAAAACAAACTACTAAAAAAGAAATAATATGCAGCTGACTTTCTTAAATTTGGGATAGGTGACAGCTCAGTGGTGGAGTGTTCCTCTGCCAACCAATGTGAGGCCCCAGGTTCAATATCCAGCAGCACAAAAAAACCAAACTAAGCAACATTCAAGCATTTCTCAGTAACTGTATTTTACTAGTAGAGCTGAAAAAGGTAAAGGAAAAAAGCTTCATTTCATTGTCCCTTAGTGTGCTCACTGAGAAAGAAACTGCTACTCAAAAGAGAAGAGGCCACCAAGTGTTCTAAGATGAAATAATAAATATCAAATTCTTTTCTTTTATTATCACCTCATCCATGGGAACTGTCCCAGTATTTCTCAACTCTTAAAAATGGAGCTTCCAGGGCTAGAGAGATGGTACAGCAATTAAGAATGCTTGCTGTTTTCACAGAGGACTTGAATTTGGTTACTAGCACCATTGAAGGCAGCTCATAACCGCATGTAACTCCAGCTCCAGCAGATCCAAAATCCTCTTCTGACCCATGCCAGCACAGCACTCCTATGTACATTCCAACACAGGGATATATAATTAAAAATAAAATTTAGAAAAATGGAATCTTCTTCCTCATAAACACAAAACTCTAATGCCTTATTTATTGTTTTAATACTAATTTTAGCTATTCTCCCTAAATGTGACCCCATTTTATAACATCAGAAATACTTTTTCTGTTGCCTTTAAAAGTCTGTTCCAGGGCCAGCAAGATAACACAGTGAATGAAAAGTGCCTCACACCAAATCTGGTGACCTGAGTTTGATTCCTAGAACCCACATCATGGAGAAAAAACTGCAAACTGTCCTCTGACCTCTCTCTACACATGCACCCATACACACAAGCACACAGAAACAATAAACATATATAAAAGTCTACTTTAGGGCTGGGGAGATGTCTCAATGGTACTTGTTGTATAAGCAACAAGATCTGAGTTCTGATCCTCTGCATTCATATAAACATAGGACGTGGCAGCACAGACCTCGTAGTCCGGCACTGGGGAAAAGCAGCTGGAGGATTCCTAGGGCTCATTGACCAGTCAGCCTAGCTAAAATGGCTCCAGATTTAGTGACAAACTCAGAAAATAAGGTGGAAAACTGACTGAGGAAGACATCCAACAACAATCTCTGGCCTCTACATGTTCACCCACACACCTACACAAACACATCCAGACACAGAGTGAGTGTGTATATGAGAGAGAGAGAGAGAGAGAGAGAGAGAGAGAGAGAGAGAGAGAGAGACAGAGAGAGACAGAGAGAGACAGAGAGAGACAGAGAGACAGAGAGAGAGAGACAGAGACAGAGAGAGAGACAGAGAGACACACAGAGAGAGAGAGAACACAAACCTAGGAGCACAATAAGAATACTGCCAGCTGGGCAGTGGTGGCGCACACCTTTAGTCCCAGCACTTGGGAGGCAGAGGCAGAGGCAGGTGGATCTCTGCGAGTTCGAAGCAGCCTGGTCTACAATGTGAGTTACAGGACAGACAGAGCTACACAGAGAAACCTTGCCTTGAAAAAAAACAAAAAAAAACTGCCAAAGAAATGCTCCCATTTACCTGTTAGCTAAAAATGGCAATAAAATGAGGTTTGAAATGCAAATATTACATCTTTCTAAAAACAAAGCATTATGATTTATTCAAACAGACAAAACAGAAATCCTAAAGCTTACAGTCTTTTAGCTGTTACTTGCTACTTCAAGTGATACTGAGGCAACCCTCACCATATTGAAGTCTAAAGAGCACTGCTTCTTGCTAACTTAAAACACATCAAGTAAGATCCCTTCCCCTCAAAGCACAGCCAACAAGGAGGATCCTGAGAACATGTAGCACATCTGCCCATCCTCAGAAAGGCTTTCTCCCTGACTGAACAAGCACACAAGATACTAGCTAGAGACATCACTACTCTGATGCTTTGAGAGGAGTCTTTAACATCTTCACTTTGATAACATGCAGAAAACCTTTTTCTATCAAAACAGGTTACCATGCTTATACTTAATAAACCTGCAAGAGGAGTTTTAAGGGACATGCCTATTCTGCCATGAAGTCAATGACACATATCATGTGCACTGTACCTCATGTTCTTTATGTGTAAAAGGGCGGTATGAGCACTCTAGCTTTGGTCTCACATGTCAGCACATTCTGGCATATACATCATGAGCATCCATAGTGTGAAAAATCAGTAACTCTCTAAGTCATTCACTCAAAGTTTCATACTGCAGGTTTCAAATTTTGGCTTAAGGGTAGTCAATGGGTAAAATCCAGGGTATGCATACCCCAAACTAGACAACTCTGAAACCTGAAATACTCTGGACCTAACCATTTCAGACAGACTCGACATCTATAACTATATCCAAATACGTTTCTAAGTGATCTTCAAAACTCCCTGGATGATAAACTAACAATCATGTTTATGTAGCATCTGATAGGGGGTAGAGAAGAAAAAGGAAGGGGGGAAGAGAAGGGAGGGAGAAGGAATGAATGAATGAATGAATGAATGAATGAATGAATGAATGGGAACCAATTTACATACCTCTGGTATATGTAAGTCTAACTGATCATGTGGCTTCTAACAGAAGTGTTGTAAGGTTTGTATTGCTGTGATAAAATAACATGACCAAAAGAAACTTCGGGGAGGAATGGGCTCATTTCATCTCAGCCTGCTTTCAAATACCATCCAGGATCATCACCAGAGTAGCACCACCCCACAATGTGCTGGGCCCTTTCACATCAATCATCAATGAAGAAAATGCCCTGGAGGCTTATCCACAGGCCAGTCTGATAGGAACATTTTCTCAGTTAGGGCTGACTCTTCCAAAATGACTCTAGCTTGTGCCAAGCTGACATAAAACTAGCCAGTACACCAAGCAAACTAGCAATCCTGACCCCTTCCAATTGTCCTCAAAAGTTGTGTAGAACTGCCACCTCAGGGGCAGTGTGAAACGGAAAATCAGAAACAGTGGGCCATCTCGTGTAACAGCTTAGGAGATACAACTCAGTATGTGTGGATAAGGTGTAGCCCCAACTCCAACATCAGGCACTGGGCATGCTTACAAGAGGTTACGTGAATCCACTGTTGATTGTATTTGGTTATATGGCTAGTCTTGAGGTTGGGGGAGCTGAGAAAATGGGTCTGAATGAAGGATCACACTCACTACCTTACAGTGAGTCTCACAAAATTTTAATAACTACCATGTGAATCCAACAAGAACTAGTCAGAATCCACACTTCATTATCATCTATTTCATAATCATCTGCAGAGGGCCAAAGGTGCTCTAGTTCAAAGACAGTGCCATTACTACTGCCCAAACAAGGCATCATCAATCATATTACCTCATCAATCACAGCCTGGAAAAAAATGGTGTCAAATCATTGCCTAAAGTCAAAGCCATACCCCTGTCTTGGTCATTTTAAACCATACCATAGTCACTAAACCACACCAAAAGATTTCACTTAAAAAAACTCAGTGGGAGCTCCCACAGGTCATCATAGTCAGGAAAAATTGAAAAGGCAGAATGGAGTTTAAGCCCAGCCATGAAAGACCCTACAAAGATTGCTGAATTGGAGATTTCAAACAACAATCAAC